CAGTGTTTTCGCAACAAAAAATTTTTTTCCGTACAGATTTACGCACGAGTGCCATACAAAATTTTTTGCAACACTCTTTTCCCCTTTCTCCTAAATTTACAGCAATATTGGCAACATTTATGCAATATTGCTATAAGTTTATTAGCTGTGGGGGAAAAATATATTTGCTGATACAATCAGTGCTTTAAAGTATTATTCTTCTCATCTATGTCAATTTCTAATTTATTTAAAATATATTGCATACTACTTCCTTTTCCAGAAAGTCAAGCTTATGTAATTCCGCATCCAACGAGCCCTATATGAAGTATTTTGGATTGGTGGATTTTAAATAAACCATTGCAATGCAAACTATTTGTATATTAAAAATCCACCAATTCAAAATAGTTTATATAGGATGAGAAATTACATGAGCTTTTTATTTGTAATTAATTAATTAATTAAACTTTAATTAATATCTCGTAAAGGTACCAAATGACATTTTATTTAGATTGTTTGTTAAAAGTGTACATCAATTAAATTCGATCATGAAGGACAGATATCTCTAAGGAATTGACTAACGTTGATTCTGGATCCACTTTCTTACAGTACAACAAATAAATGAACACCATTCTTGTGTTTTTTTTAGAAAATAATTTATATGAATATTATTACCTAAAACTGATGGCTCATTCTTACAGCTGTATTGAATTTTATCATTCTCATTTATCAATTTCACGTCTTACGTCATTCGTAATGTTTAATAATAATTTGTTTTAATTGTTTTAAAATGTATAGGCTCACTCATAATCAATGAATATACATATATATATATATATATATATTGGTTAGTGTGTGAAAAAAATTATACCTACATTGTTATGTTTGAATTTTGCATAGAAAATATAATCTAAACATCATTTGGTGGTTTCAATAAACTCGAATAAATTGAATTGTATTTGAAAAAAAATTTTTGCACCTTTTTAAATTTCTTTGCATTTGGTGTGAATAGAGAATTTAATTTCACAAAGTCTAAATGTTGAAATCGAATCTTGGGTCAATGATTAACTCCGTTTCATTAGAAGCTTCGCAAGTCCGTCTTTTATTGCTATTGTCCACCACAATGTTCACTTTCCACTTGGTTCTCGTGATTAGGCCCACGTAACCTTTGCCCCTTTCATTAGTGCGCGACTCAATCAGTGTGGGGTTCAATAATCTTGAGGTGACCTAATCAATGAAAGTGAGCGACAAAGTCGTAGCGAAACGATAGAAACGAGACGGACCTTATCGGGGTGAGCGGTCGCGCACTGAGGTGTAGATTGAACCTTGACATTACTAGACGAAAGAGATTGGTATGTGGAATGTTGTCTTCGATCCGAATGAAACAATGAGGGAGGTGTGGCCCACTTTCGAGGATGTGTCCCACACCCTAAGATCCGTTGACCGTAAGGACGAATCGTTCGATCGTGGGATATTGGACTTGTGGAAGGTATTCATGTATATAGTCTGCTAGATAGTGTTGCGTGATAATGACAGGTCTGGGCGTCACAGTGATAGAGGTGCCTTCGTGTCATAGAATCGCACTTCTACCACGCCTTGAACTAGTACAATTGTCCTCAATAAAAGATCTTCAACACCGTTCTGAAATATTGTTTTTAATCTTTTTCTCATTTTTATCCACGATTCATTTTTTATCATCAAGCTTGAAATTAATTATTATCTTTGGATAAAACAATTAAATAATAATTATTATTAGAGATCAGATTTTATTTTCATGCATTTTAAGATCGAAATCTAGACAAAATTGATAAAAGTATTGGAATAGTTGAGGTTACGAAACGTTTGTTTTTCGACTAAGAGGGGGTTTAAGAAGATTTTGCTTGTAGAACAGTCCTCTCATTCTTGCAGGACATGTCTCGACATAGCTCCAAGTTGATCGAAGAAAGTTGGCTTGCCACGATGACGAGGTAGATCTTTAAGATGATATACCTTGGCAGATGAGGCTGTGGCCGGTATCCATTCAAATTCCACAAGTCGTCATACCACAGGTTTGGGTTCGGCTTATCAGTCCTTTCGTATCGGGACGAACCTCATAGCTGGCGAGTCGCACATAGCTTTGTACATTCCATTATGTTTCCCCATAATTACATGCTACGGGACACCGGCTGTCTTTTCACGACAATTCATCACGTGAGAAATCTAGAGAGACCATGTCATTCACCCTGCTTGGACACTCCTTGTCAATTGAATTAGTGTCTGGAAAACTATTGTTTCAAAGATATATGCAAATATATATATTAATGGGAAAACTCCCATTAAAGATTCTTGAATTAAATTTCAGTAGTAAATGGGTTTGTGGGATTATTATCTTTTTTGTATATGTCAAACTTTTAAAATTAATAATTTTTCGCTTTTGATACACTTTACGCACAAGTTAATATGATTGTATAGTGTTCGTGACAAAAGTAGTAGTCGGATAGGAGACTGAATTTTCAGCGAGTACCTTTGTCCTCCCCTTTCCTCCTCACGATCGTACTCGTGGCGTCAAGAGAAGCGTGATGACGAGGCTTGATCTCGGATGAATCCCACGCCCCAAACGCCCCGCTCGTTAGCAAGAGTCAGCAGTCAGGTCATCATCGACGTGTCATTCGGCACCGGGGACTCTGCTTTCGTAGTCCATGGACGTAGTTCTCTGCTAGGACTATGTCTGCCACGAACCACCACGCCCATTGACATCGACGACCTGACGCAGCAACGAGCGGAGCAAATTGTCGCCCGAGGTCGATAATAACGTGTCTATGTCTGTCGATGAAAGTTGGCAGATCGTTCTCGATATCTGACCAATCTGAGTCAATTTCTAAAGTGACAGACATTGGGGATGAAAGTACCTACGACCAAGACCATTATAATAAGAAAGTTTGTCTTGTTCAGATAATTAAAAAGTGGAAAAAGTATTTAGTAGATGAAAATGTAAGATTGCGTTAAAATGGGTCGTTGGCAATCGTCAAAGAGTCTTGGGTGAATGAATCCAATTAACGTCGATCCATTGCTTTCAGAGCAAGGCGGATTCCGGTAGGAGGTAGAAAGACATGGTACCACGAAGGGATCGTTTCGAGGCAATCGGACTAAACTATGGACTCATTTACACACTTAGCTTCGCTTCCGCTCGGATCGTTTTAACCCCCTCCTTTAGCTACGAGAGGTCCGAATGGTTCTTATGCAGTCTCTTTACCGCTCATTTTCATTTTATCGTTTGTTTGCCATAGCCTTTTTTTCTCCAAATGGGTTAATTTCTCGTTTCTCAGCGTATGCCGTCACGTTTTTAGAAAAGAGAACTTTATTTTAATACACACCAATATATCAAATAGCAATCGAAGGGCCCACTAGTTGTTTCATGCGTCTGATATTTCACCTTGATATTGTGAGAGGAGGGGTGGGAAAGGAGGGACACTGTCGAGATCCCTTCTGGAAAAGCATTGGGGTTGAGAAGCAAGGGTAGACCAAAACGGGCCGCCGGCAGCACTTAAGACTATTGTTTTCAATGTAATTGGATAGCTCATGCTTTCTCTCTTTCCTTTTAGTTCATCTCCCTTTCTCAACAACGAATGCAACTGGCAAGGGTGGCACGAGCGGAGGCAGTCCCCACGAAGCTTCGACAATTATCTTGATTGTTTTATGCATATCCCAACGGCTGGCATTCAAGAGAGATAGAGTTGGAGAATGCATTAAAGGAAGAAAGAGATGTTCAATATTCTCCGTCCTCTAATTCACCGCCTTACAGTTTCAACCTTGCTAATGCAACCGTGTTCCTGGGGCGTTGTTTCACGCACCTGCTGCACTCAATTTACTGCTTCCTCGTTACGGTTGGGCATCGATCCTGAAAACGTCACTGGGATCAGTAAAAAGAATCATTCACTAGCTTAATTGTTTCCCTGCATTTAAATGTTTTCAAATTGAAGTCAAGAGTCAACAGTAGAAGAAGGTGCGAAGAAATAGTATGGTTAGACGTTGAGTTTATACATCTTATTGCTTTCATTTGTTTTTTCAATTTCGAAAATCAATCTTCTGATTTAGAGAGCACTGACAATGAAAAAAAAAATCATTTAATTAATGCACTCGAATCTTGTTCGTCAAAAATTCGCTGGTTGTATCGGTGGAAGCCGGTAGCTGTGTGGACAGGAGAACTGGCGGTGGCTCACCTCCAAGAAACATGATATACCGACAAGGGGAGGAATGGTTGCGGCTGTTAACGTGGTTTCCAAAAATACCACAGGCGTTGCAAAAAGTCTACGGGAACATAATCCTACCAACGCCACGTGCTAATTATGCAAAAATATGATGTGGTTCGGCTGCGCGGTACTAACACAACTAATATTCGTTCTTTGTTGTGGAGTTCATACCTCTCCCAATACTATTGTACCTGTCATGCTAAATTTTTCATTTGGCTTTCAAATTTCTTGCAAAAAAAGAGAAAAACTATTCAAAATATATGTTTGTATGCAAAATGCTTTTTCCAATTTTTTCAACTCTTATTTTTATACTTTCAGCGATATAAGAAGTTTCATTAAAACAGAATACTTTTTGTAATTTTATAGACGATAAAATGCATTGGAGCAAACGTCCGCTATTTGCCTTGTGTATGTTTACTTTTTTGCCAACCTCTTTTTTCCTGGCAATAAATAATATTTCGCAGGTGTGTCCCGGGTACAGAGAGCTTGTAATGCGGCAAGCATTGCTTACTCTCTCCCCCCCCTCTCTCTCTCTCTCCTCATTCAACCTAACCTAACACGCATTTCACATTTATACCACGTTCTGAATACTGAAATCCTGAATTTTCATCAAAATATAGTTTCAAAACTGCGATGCGCAGAATGTTTATCAATTTTGTATTTAATTTAATTGTCACTTATGTTCTTAATGTTTGTGAATTTGGTTAAAAAACTTTTCAAAAGGCACGTATTTAATTGCCAAATAAACCTAAGCTTAAGAATTGTAATTGATTGGTGTATTTTCTTCTGTTACAGCATCCCTATCCCTCGGAAGACCAGAAAAAGCAGCTGGCGCAAGATACGGGACTGACGATCCTTCAAGTTAACAACTGGTGAGTACTCAGTAATCGGTTTTGTGTATACTTTTGATATTCGATCAGGATCGATCGAGATTCTTTCGCAGATAAAGATCGACGTGCAATAATTTCTGATACATTTATGGCACACGCGAAATCACTTGATTGCCCTGGAGCGTATTTTAGCAAAAAAAGTTTCAAGATTTATTGTCGTGAATGGAGAGAAAAGAATATGTAAATTGATTTTCTCAGTTGCTTATCGGGAATTGTCTTTCAACGAGAAATGGTCGCTTTGTAGTCAATTAGCCTAAATAGATATGATTCGTGGGATTATTTATTTCCCTCGTTTTCGTTAGTGTATAGTAATAAAATAATAACAATGGTTGTGATTTGATAAATTTTTGTGAACGCAATGTTGGCCTTTAAGTACATGAATCAGGATTAAGTGCGCATCTTAAGCACCTTACGTTTGCATTTTACACGCCTTTAATCTCTAAAAGATAAGTGCCTCTTTGCCTATATACGCTTATACACCTACTCTTAAGTCGCTATTATGTAGCAGTTTTACGATTTTCGTATCTGGGCCGACGGCTGAAGTCGACAGACATCCGTCGGTTTTCTCCGCTCGTACGCTCGAACTCTTGAGATATAGTTCGCCAAGGTTTTATGAAGCGAAAAACGATCATGGTTCTTCTTGCTCTCTATGGATTGTATTTTATTCCCGCCAGTTCACATCGTTTGCGTTTTGACGAGTTCCATATAATTTTCTCTTTTCTAACTGCATAATTCATTGGAATTATAATTTCAAGATAAATGCCTTTTTCACGAATTATAAATCACATTTGCTGACAAATTGCCCAGAAGGCGAGTTCACGCAGAGAGATATAGGCGGCTACCCAGGCCAATATATATGTAGTTAGAAATTCGGCACGCTTTTTTAAGTATAACGGCTTTACTTTTTTAATCGTTATGCATATGAGGAATATAACATATAGTCTATATATGTTGAAAAGCATATCCAGAAATAATTATTCTTTCAGGATGATCAGAAATCCCACATACACTTATCTGCTTCACATGTAAGGGTGGACAATAATTCTTCGAGGTTTGGTTTGATCGTGGTAGGGTTAAGACTCGTAGAAAGCGTCTCGTGAAGGAATAGGGTTGATCCTCTCTTACTTTCGACCCTCTCTATTCTTCGCTTTTACGTTGATCCGACGCGGACTTCGGTATCGTACCATCTTGATAGATGTTTCCTCGAAACACCTGCTCCAACATCCGAATTACCGCAGCGATGCCTCCTCTTGTTTACCGTTAAAATTGTACTATCCTCCACCGCGTACCCCTAAAATTCCCAGCGAGACGAAACCAAGATCCCGAAGTGGAGTTTAATCCTTTGCGCTAACTTTAGAAAGTGAGATCGAAATAATCCGGGTTAGTACTTGGTCGTGAATCAACGGACGCTATATTCGCCTGGTTATAAAATGCGAAATAAATTGCCAAATACCTCAACCCCCTTCTCTAAATGCGTCTCACCACCCTGTCTCCTCTCATGTTCTCTCGTTTTTGGACGTTTAACGAAACGCGGGTGGTTATTCGGTGTATAAATAAAATCGTCGCGACGAAGCTAGTCGTCTACTTCTTTCTCCTCCTCTTCTTCTTCTTTGCTGAGTTTATTATAAGAGATTGACCAAGAAAAGGAGGGGTGGCAAGAGGTATCGCGGACGTGTCGTATAATTGAGCACAAATCAAGTTTAAGGAGTCCTAGATATCCGAAAACACGTCGAGTTTGGTTTCCATTCCAAAATGCTAGCTGCTGTAGCGGATTCTTGGACGCCCACAGAGAAGCGTTAATTAACATGTGGATAGATCATCAGATCCATATGTTTCTTTTAATTTATATGGTTGTAGAGAACACAATTAATTTGTCACCGCTAAATTCGATTTTTCTATCGACAATTTTAATTTACAAATTTTTAGTCGTTTCAATATGGAAATTTTTTAATGCTGAAGATTTTTTTTCTCACGTTGAAGGTGTCCTGAGTAAAGGTGACATACACTTGCAGCACAGTTTAGCATTAATGCTAACAATTTCCAGGAGGCGACTCCTAGGTTGAAATATCTCGTCCTGTACTGAGGAAACTCATGTTTCCGTAATGCAATTAGATGGCGCACACGTCGTGCGCGGCTTAGGAATAGCCGTTCCAATTAGAATACTGTAGGACAAATGAAATAATTCGCAAATAAAATAGACGCTTTCTCTGAGTGCTGCATAAACTCCCCCTCTCCACTCCTTCCCTCTTTAGCAGGAGAGGGATCGCAATTCCCTATACGCCTTCCTAGGACTTGGCCACCGCATACCCTTTGCCCACAATTTTCCGTCACATATATCAGACGTGACAGTAGTTAGAACCAGTGCCAGCTTGTTATCCGTGTACTGTAATGCCCTGCATCATTGCGGAAAATTGTTGACAAGCAACGATGCGAATTTATTGAGCGCAATCTGCTTTTAGATTGGCTGGGGTGACTATCAAATCCCAAGAATGCGGAATCGACGACTTTGGTCAATTCAATCTCTTTATAAACCCGACAACTGTCCAAAGCCAATTTACCTTTTTTATTCTAGATCTTAAATCCTCTTACGAATCCTATTCCCTTTACTCCTGTACTTTCCTCCGTCGTTGAATTTCTCAGACTATTTTGATAAAAGAACATTTTTGAGATGACAAGAAAACCAATATCAAAAGAATGATAACATTTTTCAAAAAAAATAGTTGGTTATAATTCGAGGAGAGGAATGCACGCCATTTTGACTGTGAATGTCAACTATCAACTATCCCACTTTCCAGATAAAGAGTGGCGATGCAGTTGTGGCGTAAATGTGTACTAATATTCTTGCTAATTTAACCACTTTCTCTCTTCCTCTGCCCCAGCTTCCTCTGTGAATATATACTTCGCTAATAAACCAGGCGTTATTTATCGACCTCCCTACTCCGACACATAGTCCAAGGTACTTGGCACTTAGGTAGTTTATTTCTGCGAATGTCAGAGTCACAGAAACTTTTTTTCTCCTTTTTATATCTGTCTCTTTCACTTTTCTACTCTATTTGTCTTGCAATACATATTGCAAGGTGATGAGCTATTTATTCATCTCTTTGTGCAGAACATAATTTTCTCAAATTTTATGTACACTTTACGATACAATCGTACTCTGAACTCCGAAAGTTGACTTTACTTTACACACACACGTTTGACTTGAATTAAGAAAAAGATAAAGTTTTTAACGCAAATGTATTTTAAGATTTCAGAAACCAATTTATACCAAGAAGTATAAAATTGTTAGTTGAAATTTATTTATTCGGTTTACGGTTTATTACGAATGTCCACAGGACATGTTTATGTAAACATACTATTTCCAAAAATTTTAGCCACATTGATTCATTATTTACAAAGAAAATTGAAAAAATACAGTTTTTGACATATCAGAAAAACTTTTTGCAGTTTTAAAAAAAGTTTACTTACTATTACTAAACTTCGTTTACATAGGTTCTCAACAACAATAACCGATAATTTCAAATTTTTTTAAAATTTCATTAACAAATTTTATTTAAGTAATTTCTTGTGCTCAACAAGGAGACAAGCAAAAGTTTAACTTTATGATACGTGGATATTGGCAACACTACTTATACGTTGTTTTTAGGTTATGACCAAGTTAGAACATTTGAAAAGCTGTACTGTAAACTTGAAAAAAATTACTAGCCATTTTTGAATTGAAACTTGATTTAAAATTTTTTTATTATGAGTGTTTTGCAACATTTTTTAATATTGAGCACTCTCTCTCTCTCTCTCTCTCTCTCTCTCTCTCTCTCTCTCTCTCTCTCTCTCTCTCTCTCTCTCTCTCTCTCTCTCTCTCTCTCTCTCTCCTACATTTGCTTTGTGCACATTTCATAAATACTTTGCTTCCTCATATAGAGATTAAGATTTTTTAATAATTGAAACGTTAAAGACTTCTTAATATTTAGTCGTGTAAAATGTTCACTAATAGCCAAAAAGACGCGTCTTAAAAATCTCTACAAAATTAAATAAAAATATATTCATAGGTGTCCTATAAATTTTTTTTAAGCTGTGAGCAAAAAACGATTTTTAAAAAACTTTTAAATGCAAAAAAATAGTTAACTCGAGGGGGTATTACAATGCTCTATAAGGAAGCAATAATTAAATAATAATTTTTAATAACTTTTACAGTAATATCTAAGCATATTTTTGTTGCCTTTCAAATTAAAGCAATGCTAAATGTCAAAACATAACATAAAGCTGATGGTTGAAATAGTTATAAAATAATTGCTAGTTTGTTTCCAAAGGAATTTGTCGAAGAATGTGTTTGATGAGCGAGTATATTTAAAATAACGACTAATATGGTCGTTATTTTTTTTCATTTTCGTCTTCCGCCTGAGGGCTGATCGTAGCCCATCTTCTTCTGCAACGTTTTATTTATTTAATGTTCGTGAAGGTTCGGCGTAACGCGACCGCGAGGATCGTTAACATCGTAACCGTATGTCCCAGAGGTAATTTAGATCGTTGTAAAACCACGAACAAGTTGGTAGTCACCCTTCTGCGTTGAGAAGAGCAAGTATAACCGACTTGTTAACGAGACTGTAACGTTCCGTTTTGCAAAATCGTCCGCGGCAGCGCGCACGCGCGTCCATGCGATCGTAAATTTCCGTCAACCGGATGTTAATATTCCCATCTGAGAATGCCGTTAGTCCCAAGCTTTCTCCGTCAAAGTCAATGAATTGAGCCGAGTTATTCACCATTTCGAGCTGATAAACTTTAAATTTGATTCAATATAAACTCACTTGTGTAAATTATTAGTTTTCGCTTCATACATCTACCTATTTGTCGTAATATTAAAATTGTAATTTAAAATTTGATTTGCAATAAAGGATCATAGTTCCGCAGTCATGAATTTAAATGACCATCTACAACACACGAATACAAAAACATTATATAATATATATATATATATATATATATAT